GATTATCAGACTAATTATCTCTTCTGAGAATGCAATAATTAACTTCATTAAATGAGAAGGAAAATACTTTTATTTTGACAATGTCCTAAAATCTTTTTTTCCAGAATCAGAATAATTAAAGTAAACCACTTATTCAGATAATACACCCCATCCCTCATCCTTCCAGAGAAAACCAGAGGAAATAAACAGATTGCAGTCTGAGGGATTTAGCATAGGCATGAAGAAATACTTCTTATCTGCAAGTAATAATTGTGTTCCAGGGATTGACTGGTCAATGACAGGTCTATTTATACATCCATTTCCTATCCCCCAAACCTAGGTTTGTATAGGAACCTTATGTATATAGGTCCTCTAAAATCATTTTCTATTCAGACTTATCTAATTCAACACCTGTCCTCTTTTATTGAGAGAAGAAATTATCAAAATGTGAAAGTCTAAAAATAGTGGTTTATAATAGAAAGCCTAATTCTTTCTTAATTATAGGTATGCTATAGTGGGACTATAATTAGAGATGATCAGTGCTCCAAAATGAGTCAGACTTTATCATTCACTCTGTAGAAGGATGTACATGAGTTCCATAGCACAAAACCCTGGGGAAAAAAAAAAAAGATGCAGGGTCTTTTCCTTCATACAACTCGGTTACAAGATTGTCCTCCATTTATTGTCTCTCTCTAGCAGAACAATGTAAATATTTCATTCACGTTTGTTTTACTGGTTATACCTGATTTTATTTTAGAAAATTTACAGCTGAAATTGGAATTCTGAAAATAATGCACACTTACTGACTTTACTAAAGCAATATTATTATAACACAGTTTATTAAATTATTTACCTGAAATCTGAAAAATACTTTAGACTTAAATTGGGTAACTCATATTATCTTAGGACAAAACAGATAAGTCCCTATGAAGGATGGAATATTCATCTTATAATTTTAAATAATGTGCTTTTATCCCAACAAAGATATACTTTTAGGAAACATTTGTTATGTTTGGACAAAAGACAAGTTATTTTTCATTCTTTAGCTAGTTACATATCTTTAAAATTTAAACAATGACTTGGCTTCCCAAATCAATTTCTCCAATGACTAAATCCAAAGCTCTTGCTGTGATAAAAACCAAAAGGTGGCTTGATAAACTCTCAGACAGTAGAAAATTTTTAGTAATATAAATAATAAAATCCCTAGTCATAAGCAGTGTAATAGGAAAAAGTTTCCAATGAAGCCAAATTGAGCTATATTAGGAAACATAAGATAACCTTTAGAACTATAAATATTGGCAAATGGTAAAAATTGTAAATATTTTTCTTCCACATGGAATTAGCTTCCTTAGGTCTGGAAGTAAGCACAACAGATGGCCCGGGAACAAGGAGTACAATACATGTCTTCAGTCTAACTTCAGCCCACTGCATCTATATTCCCTTTCCTGACAGACTGGGCACCATGAGTCTGCCTGCTTTCACTCTGTCCTGAATCCACCTACAGAAGCCCCAGGCATGCCTAGAGCTAAAGGACAGTTGAGAGAGGATGACCCAAGATGTGTAGTGAATGTCAATTTTAGGAATAGAAGCAAGGAGAATTTCCCGTGTAACATTTTCCACCAGAAGCTTAGAAATTCAATCAGACTACAGCTAATAGACAAACTATAATATACCCAAGGATTTAAGGGAAAGAATGCTAGTGAAAATCAATTATATTTTGCTTTTATGATGTCTATGAGTTAGCTTCACCTTATCCATTACATTTTAAATAACAGTCTAAAGAGAAATTCTTTTTTTCGAAAGGGAAGCTCTTATTCAATCTCCATATGCTATTGCAGTAAACTTTATGTGAAAAGGTATGAGGCATGATGAATACAGCTGGAAAACCACAGTATCCGAGAAAATATTTCTGGGAGTCAAAAGCAAGAATAAGGTTGTCCTCACTTATTATCATCACGGCATCCAATTATCAAACATTAATACGGTTATCAAAATTATTCCAAGTTACTCATGATTAAGCAGCACCTTTTTATTGAATCCAACTTTTAGAAACAAACCTTTCATATACATAATTTCTCAAATTATAACCATGTCATATATGTCAATGGAAAAATTAGCATGACGAGCTCCTATTCACTCTGGTGATGTGTGCTGTTGATGTGGTGATGTTAGTAGCTTCCCTTTACTGGGAATCAATATTAATAGAGTAAATAGTGTGGCTCCTAAGTACTTTTGAGGCCATGCTCTTCTTTCTCTAGATGTGGAGAAGCTGACTACAATGCTATATGCACTGAAACCTAACCAGTGTTGATTCACCAACAGTTCCTTTTGAAGGTATGTTGAAGGGAAGCGTGAGTTTCTACCATTATAATTCTCTAATTTCACACAGGCAAACATGGGTATAACTGAAACTGAGCATGGGCACAGCAAAATAAATCCAGAGACTTTTATCTGCAAGTAAAAATGGGATATCAAAAGAACCCTATAGGGGTAAAAGGCCTCAACACACTTCCTAGCTTCCTGAATTTGGTCAGTTATCTGAGCTTTAGCTTAATAATGCATGGTCTGCAAACAAAAATCATTGCCTTGATTATCAGGCATAAGTACTGTGGTATTCAAAAAGATAACGGGATAACGAAGATGTGTTATATACACACCATGGTATCATGCCATTTGCAACCACATAGATGGCCTGAGAGGGAATAATGCTAAGTGGAATAAGTCAGACAGAGAAAGACAAATACTATATGAATTCACTTATATGTGGAATTTGAGAAACAAAACAAACGAGCAAACAAACAAACAAACCCAGACTCTTAAATACAGAGAACAAGCTGGTGGTTGTGGGGGTGGGGCAGAGATCGGTAAAGTACATAAAGGGGATTGAAAGTACACTTAATGTACTGATTAAGGTGTGGTATTGTCGAATCATTTTATTGTAACCTGAAACTAATATAACATTGTATGTTATTTATACTTTAATAAATAACCAAAGAGTACTGAGCGCTGAGTAGTGTGTAGACTTGTTGAATCATTTTATTGTACACCTGAAACTAATGTAACACTGTATGTTAATTATACTTTAAATAAATAAATAAGCAAAGAGATAATGCACAAGAAACCGCTTGGGAAAGCTACGCCAATAAAAATTACCAGTTTGCCTAATTACTCAATATCACTTCCCGATTACTCTAGAAAGGGTAAGCTCCACAATCTTATATTGGCAAATGGCACACCACAAATTATGTTGTCAAGTGGATATACATATACACGAATATACTGCTTATTGGAACCATGGTCTTCATGGAGTTAGTGCACTGAAACACAAGAGTAACAGCATTCTTTTCCCAGAGTCATCTAGCCTTCTTATCTTGTCCACTAGGGAACTTGAGTATACCGATCACAAAATCTTGGCATCTTGATTATTACACATATGTTTCTATGATTGACTGAGTTAAGGTGTCCTGCCAAGCTCTGGAAATGTGAATGTACAGTTGTTGAGAGTACTTGGTATTACTATTGTGCAAACAAGCTAATGACAGTAACTCTCAACATATGTTTACTAATCTGTAAGGCAGTATCGGAAACAATTAAGATTATTTTAATCAACATTAAGTAGCACTAAGTAAACCATGATACAGCAAGTACCTTATTCATTCACATATTTCATTCACTTCAAGAGGAAGAATATGAATAAAATATATAAATAAAATAAATGCAAGTCCTACTGGAATACAAATAATAAAAACTGCTTCAAGATACACTTCTAATTAAGAACCATGAAATATTCTAATTTATTTTAATAGATCCATTGTTATGATCAAGCTAGAACACTGTGCTACAGAAAAAGTGTTTATATACATATTACATACATGTTCATAAATGAAAGCAAATTGTTATTAGTAGCAAATCTGTATTATAACATTCATACATAGAACTGCATTAAAGTCACAGTAGCTGCTGATAGATTGACCACACTTCTGCACTTAAATTGCAGTGCTTAAAGAAAGCATCAAGGTCCTGCCCTCCCTTCACATATCCAGATTATTATCTATTATCAGCTGTGGTCTGCCCGCCCCCCTTGTTCTCCTGTCATATTTCAGCTCAACTGAAGTTAGTTGGAAAAAAATACCAGAGGCAATGTAGATGAGACAGTCTTCAAACTACACTCTACTATTTCAACGGGTCCTAATCCTAATTTTGGAGTGGCCTAGATTTCATTCAAGCAAATTCAGATGCATTCAAAGATTTAGTTGGATTATCAGATATCATCATGTATTATATATACTGGCCTAAAACCTAAGTTTATCAGCTATATTAAACATTTCAATAGAATGAGTTCTTATTTAGAGAAAATAGTATAATGAAAAAAATTATACTGACGTCAGGTTATTGGGCTTGTCCTATAAACAAATACCACAGGGTCACAATTTTTTTGAAAAGTAAAATATATTTAATAGACACACTATAATTATGCTACCCATTTAGACCTTTGTTAGCCTTTTCTTGGAGGGTTTGAAAAAAAACTCAGGATTTTCACACATTTATATCATCTGTCTCCTGACACAGAATTAACATATCTGATTTGAAAGTTCTTTTTTTTAATTATTTTTAAGTTTTCAATAGTAAACTATGTAAAATATATGACAGTCATGATTATTTAAATTAAAAAAAACTTTTGTTTCAAAGATAATAACAATCTAAACTTAACTATACTTTGCTTCAATTTTGTTCCAAAAGGACAATCAATCTTTATAAAACTATAATTCTATTGTAATGTTGTGTTTTTCTCCTAAGGAGTTAGGCATGACAAAACAGACAAGATGGAACTAAGGACAGGGATGGGGAAGGGAGGGGTATAGAGACAAGGCCAAGGACAGAAACAGAGTTAGAGACAGAGATGGCGCTTACTATCACATAGTACCTTTGTGTAGAGCACAGGAGGGACGGGGGGAGGACAAAGTTTAAAATGGTTAAATTTTAAGATCAAAATCAGAAGTTAACAAAGCGGAATCTCTTACCCTGAAAAATTCTTTAGTGGATCCAGAGTCTAATGTTCCATAAGCAATTTCTGTTTGCTTAGAAAGATCCTCAGCACTTTCGATGGGAGACACCATCCTCTCTACGGTCAGGAAGGCAGCTAAGTTAGCCGTGTAGGAGGAGATTATGATCAGGGTAAAGAACCACCACACACCTCCAACAATGCGCCCAGAGAGGGATCTAATAACAAGTATGAAATGGATTTGTAAAGTGAAATGAATGACCTAATTAAAAAAAAAAACAAGTTAGCAATATTATGCAAATACTGACTTATATGGGAATATTTAACTTTATACTTTTTAATATATCTGCTAGTTAATAAAACTGGAAATTATTAAGCATTCTGGGTAAGGAGTACAGATTAGCTAGATTTAATGAGCTACCCAGAGGCCAAAACTTCAGATTCCTCGTATTCTTTCATAATTATAATGCCTAAATCGTCTATGGTATGAAATCTCATAATGAAGCAATTTCAAGAAATGTGCAAATAATCCAGCCAATGCCCATCCTACTATCCACTCATGACATGAGTAAACATGAACAAGAGAATTTAACATCACTTGTAAAACTCACAATGTTGACAAACAAAATCAAACATTAAAAATAAAAGAATGTGCACCATAAATGAAGTTCTAAATTGAAGAAACCCTCCCTTTAATTCAGCCAATGAAGTTCCAAAACTCTCAAAAAGGTCCAAAATTTCACTGGGTTTTTGTGTGTGCAAAAAACATAGGTTTTATGTGCAGCACAGGATAGAAAATGGGGGAAAAAATGATACAACAAACAAAGGGATGACACAAAATATAATTCTTAATGAACAAAAATCTGAGGCTTCCTGGCATGGACTGTTATCACCCTGTTCCTCTGTGCCTCCTGCTTAAGAAAAAAGACAACTCAAGGAAAACAAAATTAGACATTTAAACGTTAGCCAAGATACAAATTCCTAATTTGCAATATAATAAAATAATAATATTTCTTTGACCATAAATTCATATGTAAAATACTTTTAAAAGCTTAACAGACCTCTAATAATTTACTTTACTTTACTAGAGAGATAAATATAGATACGTAGATATGGAAATAGATACATAACATATAATTTTGAAAGATTTGGTGAGATTCTATGCATAAAGGGATTTAAAAAATAAAGGGATTTAAATAATATTAACAATCCAATACAATAACATTTTGGGTTAATAACTTTGCTCTGTCTAACAATTAAACTTGCTACAGTGAAGAGGTAACATTTCTAAAAACTTAAATTACAAATGTTTGGTAATTTATGGCTTAAAACAGACCTCCTGACATTTAACAGTAAGAAATACATCTTTGTAGAATAAACTATTCTAGCAGTCAAAAAAAAGTGGGGAAGCTTATTTAAAAGTAAAGATTTTTACAAACATCTATTGCTAAAAGAGAAAGAGCGAGAGTGAGCAAGCAATGAAAAAAAAATATAAGAGCCTTTATCACAGTCTCTGAGAGATGCAAAGAATTAAGTAAATATGACAGGATGGAATAAAGTTAACTTCTCTCTCAGGCGAAGGGTATTAAATACATTTTAAATTTAAGAAACCTCTTGTGTCGACACAGCCACTCTCAAAATGTTCACTATTCCATAACAATGGAAAGTATAATTAAAGGGCATGTACCCCATATTTAAGAGGGCAGCTCAAATCCCTTAAAACAAAACTGACTTCTTAATAATTGCTTTGACACTATAAACTGCATGGTAATTGGCAATGTATTTCAGAATTATTTTTATAACTAGTTCTGTTCCATTTGTAAAATAAACACAAGTTAGACATAAATTATTCTCTATTCCAGTGCTTAAGACAGATTTAATGAGCTTAAATATGCCAATTTACTTAAAGTTTCAAAAGATATCTCAAAAAAATTATTGAACTTGTACATCATTCAAAACTGAAAATTCTTGAGCAACTTATCATCCATTTGCAAGTGTTTTCAAAGGATCCATTAATGTTTCTGAAAGAGTTCCTGAGAAACTTTATGCAGGGGCAAATTCAATTTATGTCTTATGGAGACAGACAAAAATGGTTTCTCTACTTAAAAACAAACCTTCACCTCTCTGAATCTGCACTAAAGGAGCAAATAAACACAGATATGCTACCATTTTTTTTTATTCTACCATTTCTTTTAAATCTATATTAAATAATTGTTTTAAGAATGGCATTTTTATTTATTGGAATCCTTTTGAGATATTGGGAAAAAAGAGAAGGCAAGCAGGAAAATAAAAGTCAACTTAACAGCATTTTGCTCTCACAATTTCTGTGGTTCCAGGCTTCAGAAAACTATAGTTAACATATTCTAAACTTGATTTCAGGAAAATGACCAATTCAGTTCAATAAATCGATCCTGATTAAAATTTAAATGTTCTATTAATATTAATAATATAGTTCCATACCATGTTTTACTTGAAAAGAGGTGATAAATATCTTTCAAAATATTTAAAGAGTATCTCAAAGTGATCTGTGCATTTCTGCATCATCATCATCATTATTATTAGATACTATGCTTCTCTGTTCTTTTCTAAACTGGAGTAACCATAACTGCATTGTAAAAAAAGATAGTTTGGTTTGTTTTAAAAAATCATTAAATTTACCAATATTATGCATTATGTTTAATATTTAAGTGCACATATAGAATGAAAGATATGTACACTTAAATTTTTTTAGCAAAGCAAATTTTGCTCATATATATTCTGTAGCAAAAACTAAATCAGTTGATAACAAGGAAAAATATACTATCTTAAATCTATTGTATGGTGACCAACATAACATAATAAAATTAAATTTTAAAAAATCTATTTATCTTACCAGGAAATACAAATTATTATATGTCAAATTGTAGGAAGTCATGACTCATGAATGAGATCAAGAGCACAAAAAAAGGCCATATTTTACTAAACGGGCCTGTTGAAAATTAGAAGTTGTCTGTTTGTCATGGTGGACCCTGGAGTAACACAGATATTGATAAATGTGCTCAGTGCTCCAGCCCCTATAAATATGTTTTCTGTTCCTTGACAAGCACTGGACTCCAAAACCACTAACTTCAGAGCCATGATGCATGAAGAGTAAGGCAAACAAATCTAAGGATCCATCTACAGGAACCCAGATCAATATATCCTACTTTATAATGAACCTCATATGCTCCTCCTTACTTAATCAGAAGGCAGAACACAATTTATGTTACCCTAGGATAATTGCATTTTATCTCAGGATTAAAGTAGCATTATACTTCAGTAGCCTTCTTACCAAAAATGAATAATTTTATTGTCACTTATGGACCAGAATATTCTCTGAGATCCCCATTTGGTTAGTATTTTCTCCCTCATTATTAAAAACTTCTCTTTATGTCTTTAACTTAAATCAGATAAACTATAGAGATAAAACTATGAATCATATATTTTGTGGGAGGTCATCATATTTATGTATATTATTATATGTAGCATTATTCTATATTTCTATATTTTTCTACACTATATATTAAAATTATTATACATATATGCCATGCAAATACCATTGGCATATTGCTAATTCAGTGCAGTTCCACAAAGAAGTCACAGGGAATTTTGGGAATTAAGATTGTTTAGGTCCAAATAATTTATAACAATGTGTCCTACTAACAGAGAAGTAAGTCATTAATAATTTCTGCATATGTGATATATTTAATTTATCTCCCTGGGTGGAGTCATCAAAAAAGACTGCAAAAGATACAAACTTTTGAGTTTCTCATATAGTTTTTTGAAATTAATCAGTTATCTCCAAAGTGCTCAGAAACAAATATAATGAAATAGTATTAGAAAAATCATCCCCTTTACTAGTTATTAAGATATCCCATAGATCAAAGGACAGTAATCAAACCTAGACTAAAATGTGCCAGTAGACCTTAATTTAGGCTTTAAATGTGAAAGAATCACACTAGAAAAAGCATGTTTTATTCTTCCAAAGAGCCAGATATGGCTAACCTTCTTATTCATGTATGTAACATGAAAAAAGGCAAAATGTATTTTGTGAGATATTCATTATATTTAGGCATTCTAGTGCAGTACCTAATATATCAAAATGAGACTAGAGGTGCAGAAATGTATTCCATTATGTGTGTGTATTACTACTGAATATAGCACAAGCTGCAGTGAATCAGTCATCATTATTACTCAACCATGTATTTCTAAATACTTGGAAAATATCTTATCGTACATTCCCTTTAATTCAGCGACGTAACCTTTAAAAGAATTTTATAATATCTCTCTGAAACCATCTGCATGAGCTAATAATGGGAAAATAAAAGAGATGGGATGTGTGCCAATGAAGTTTTGTGAACAAGTTGTTGCTTTTGTTGTTAATAAGTAATGTTGCCCACTTTCCCATATACAGGTCTGTGGATCAACACACAGATGACTGTAAAATGAGAATATGCAGCAAAAACACGGTACCCCTCCAAGAAGGCATGGAATGATAGGAACCTTATGCATTTTATAGCCTCTCCATGGTGTGTATAATTTCACCAGGAAATACATGACCAACATTCAAAGAACACTGCTCGAGTATTTCACAGACTTATGCCGATGGTAAGAGTCTGTCCTGAAGAGTCTTAAACTGCTTAGACAGGTAGTCGGCAGCTGTTTACTTCTTTATAGTGAATTCATAAACACCATGAATATCCACTTGAGACCTAAAATGCACAAAGTTGAAGCAGGTGAGTAACCAACCTTGGCGAAATATCGCATCCTTGCTGCATAAAGGCACCCAAGGAAAACCAGAGACTATTAAAAATCCCAAATTCATTAGTTGATTCACTACTTTGTGTTTCTCTTCCATCTTCAAACTCCTCAGTGTGCCACTCGTAGGGGCTAAATCTGCTGACCAGGAATAAAACTACACTGACCCCAATGTAGGCAAAAACAATGCACATCCAGATCTCATAGGCTAAAGGATCAAGAAATGAAAACACTCCTGGTTTGGACTTCTGAGGCTTCTTGATCATGATAGATATCCCGAGGCTCATAAAGGGCTTTGAGAAGTCAATCACCTCTTCTCTCACAAGGGTAATAGTTAATGGAGCAATTGCAATGTCAGCTTTCTGTAAGGGAAACAAATGAAAGTAATAGTACCTGGAGTCATGGTCAGAAAGGAATCATGGTTACATTACTGGATCAAAAGGGAAGAAAAGGAAATCAGGGAAATGTCAGTAATTATTTCCCTGGGAGGGTTCCAGTAAAGAATAAATGAAAAAGCAATTTGTTCCCCAAATATCCCTCATTTTTATAAATACACAGTATACCCATCTGACTTGATTATGATAATTACCTCTCTACACTGAATCTATGCCTTTGGCACCTTTGAACAATGCATATGGTTCATATGCTTCAAGACAGATAGAATGTCTGTCTCATTTAGTGTGCATGTTTGCTTCTGATTTTATCTTTAATTTTCAGATGTTCACAAGGAAATAAGATAGTGTTCTTCAGTAATGTGGGAAACTAACAACCTCAGATAGAGGTACTTGGCCAGGAAGGGGGCATTCTGTCAACAAGAGTTCAAGCTGAATGACTTTATTTGGGACAAGAGCTATACTTACCCCGTATACAAGTTCTCCAACCATCCCATTCCAAATTTTCGTGTCAGCATCCCTGGCCCCATACTTGCCATCCCCAACAATTGTCAACTTGTACTTGAACCCACAATGTTTGGCGATTTCTGCAGCCAAGTCAACACAGTAGCCCTCATAACGCTCATTGCCTTCAAGCATTTCATGATTTTTCTTCATCATAACATATGGAGATTCCTAGATGGAAAGACAGTGCTTTCATTAGGCTATGTTAACTACTCTCACTGAATGAAGTCTTCTGGTTTAATTATTACCTGTTAGCCAGAGAAATTGTAGAATATGAATGGTGGAAAATATCAGCAGGAAAAAAAATTAAGCATAATACTTTTGGGAAAAAAAGGTCCTCAAATGTCTAGTATTATATTTCATTAATATAGCTTGTATCTAGCCATACCAAAGCAAACAAGAAACTCAAAAGCAAAAACTGTTGGCATGTCCCCTTGTCATGTTTGTTAACTCCTAGAGCTTAGGTAGAAATAATGCTGCTCGACATCTGTTTTATTCAACTCTGGACCCACCATACTCCTATTCTAGGTTAAGGTTATGCCAAACTCAAGAATCAGCATTCACCCAAAAGCCTGTGTATTGCTGCTTCAAAGATAAGGTTCATGTGGAAATCAGGTTCATAGTCAGTAATGGACAGACTAAAGAGTCATTGCCATGGTGATGTGCTAATGCTACCCTCTCAGATTTCATGTCTCACTTCATCTATGAGATATAATATCCCAGAACAATATCACAAGGAGGGAGAGTAGCTTCCACCTGTTTCAACATAGCACAAAATTCTCTACTGGAAAGTGTCATCAAGCATATTTGAGAGTTTGGTGAGATAGTCCCTCTCAATGGCATGATGAAGGCAAAAGCCCTCACGTGTCGGAGCTTACACTTATTAAGATATTTCCAAAAGCCAACCAATGTTTTTCCCAAATCCCTTATTAACCTATCTATATTTTTCTTCTCAATATTGTTAGAATAATGAATCCCACAATTTTACTGCATCACTGCTTAGTAAAATAAAATACAATTTTTTGTTGCAAAATCACTATTAGTGAACCCTATTTTCTCCATCTCATTTCACCAACAGCTTGTCACGATGATCTACATCTACCTTCCACTTCTCCAGAGCGTAGATGATCAAGATTCGGTTCAATTTTGTCTCATTCATTCAGCGCTGGCTATGTGCCAACGATTGTGTTGAGATTCGGGGCTAAAAAGAAGGGAAGTTATCCTTATCTTTAGGAGTTCATCTTATAAAGAGACGTTGCCAACATTATTAATAAATGCAAAGACAGATGGTACCCAGAATCACATGGGAAGTGAAAGGTAAAGCACACGAGTAAATATAAGGAATGCTCTTCCAGACTTTCCCCAGTTGTTCACATTTGTGGACGCAACAGTGTACGAATTTTCTGTCAAGCTAAATTTCAGTATTGAAGAGGATAAGAGATATTTTGAGTGCTTTAGCTCATGCTTGTGTGGTCCTTTTGACAGAGTAAATATGCTATACATGATTAAAACAGTGCCAAAGCAACACTACATTAGTTATTATCCAAAAATACAAACAGCAATTCTAGTTGGCAGATATTTTTCATAAGAAAAACTGCAGGAAAGCATAGACATCAGTAGCTAATTACCAAAATTGTAGTGACAACAACAGTCTTATTCTCGAGCCCAGAGGTATCGTTTCCAGAAGGGAGCTCAGTAAGGGTAACAACCATTTTGTCCACTTCACTCCAGTATCCGATCTGAAAAAGGTTACAGAAATGGGCACATGGATAAATGATCTTTCTATTAGCCAAGCATTGAATTATTTCAAACCCATGTATGAATCAAAAATTTTATCTACATTAACTAGGTCTCTTCTAAACAAAGATATGTCTTTTGTTTTTGTGACTAATAGAAATAGAGATTATAAAAACAACGAAACAAAAGCAATTCTTAAAAACGGCTTATCTCTTCATGTTCACTTCTCATATTTTTCCAGGTTAATTTGTTTGGGAGTGATCATATAGAAATAGGAATAAATCCAAGCAATGGAATTTTATCCATAACAGTTAAAAGCAAGGTATTGAATTAAAACAATGTATATGTGCACCAACTATGCTTTGTCTTCTGAACCATAAACTGTCCGTGATAGTTTCTTTTTCTTCTCATTAAAGTTCTTATACCTCGATCAAAAAACAAAGAAAAACAAAAACAGTTCTATTCACAGTCATTTGAAGATTACATTTCAATATTACTTACCAGAAATGAATAGATTAGGTTTAGAAAAAATATTTAAAAATACATCTGTTTCTGGAAGTAGATAAACTCTACCTATGTGAATATACATTTCCAGGACTCTCTGGAAGAAGAGGTGATGGGTTAGCAAACTCACCTCCTCGCAGAGAAAACTGCCTTTAGATCACTAATGATTTACCTTCCGGGGCCCATTCGTTTTGAGTTCCATGATGTTAATTGTATAGTTTATTCTTTTTCCATTCTGGTCAAACTTTATATTTCCTGAGAGACCTTCAACCTGAACCTAATGAGGAAATGGGAAAGCCACACGGTTATCAATTTACTGCAACCAAAGATAAACTGTACAGATTACTCTCACCCAGGTCAAGTTAAGGAAACTACATTTTTTTAAAAAGATTTATTTATTTATTTATTTGATAGAGAGAGGCACGGCTAGAGAGGAAACACAAGCAGGGGCAGGGGGAGAGGGAGAAACAGGCTTCCCGCTGAGCAGGGAGCCCGATGCAGGGCTCTATCCCAGGACCCTGGGATCATGACCTGAGCCGAAGGCAGACGTTTAACGACTGAGCCACACAGGTGCCCCAAAGAAACTACATTTTTAAAAAATTCTTTTCACCCTTCAACCTACCTTTGTGCAGTTAGGAAATAATATTCACTTTACATTAAACATAGCAAGGAGACTAACAAAGTGGGAAAAAAAATAGTGTCCATTGTTAAGTCATATTCACAATCATTTTGAGTGACTAACCTGTTTGAGGGCCCTTTCTATTTCTACACCTTGTCCCCAGGGGACTGCTGGGTTTGCCAGACAATCTCCTGCATTCCCCCTTCGAGAGATTTCAATTCTCTGCTTCCGTAGGTTGCGGAAAGCTTCAGTCATCACTTGAACAGCGTCATACGTCAGAGCAGAAGTATACTGAAAAACATCATACACATTTCATAAGAATGGGAAAAAATTCAGAGGCTCACCACACACTGGCCATCTGGGTTGCAGCTGGCCACCATACAACACCACATCACAGTCCAAGAATTTAGACAAATTCCTGCTTGTAGAAGTCTAAGAATCTGAGGGGTAGCACAGAATATTGGGACTGTGCAGTGTGCTCTTGACTGTAAGCATTTCCTATTATGTTAGTATCTCAGTTATCTTGGGTGAGATGTTTTATAATAATTGGGTCTTTTCTTTTTAAACCAATTTCTTATTATAACATCACTTCATGGCCTGACTTAGGGATATAGGAAATTATCAAATTTACAAACAAATATGCCTCCACTAATGCGGGATTCATTTGGCAATAGGGAAAGAATATTGATTAGTTTAAGTCTCTAATTCTATAGTCTTGAAATATTTGTTTTTAAGATCCCCTAGGTAGTTATGGTAATCAAGAAGAACCATCAAATTTCATAATTTCTATGCCCCCTTCATCCTTCAACAGTCTATGATAAAATAACGTTGGTTCCAAACTTATGGTATTCAGATACCAGTTGGACAGCAGGATTATTACAGGAGCTGTGGGCCAAGCAGAATAAAAAGAGCATTATTTATGGGTACTAAGCATTGTCAGTGGCTGGATAGGTATTATTACATGCATGTGTATGTACTGCCATCTATCAACTGTATCATGTTGCTATTGTTAATGATAAATCACATTTTTACATAAAAGTTTTACTGAATACTGAGGAAATTTCTGTAACAAAAGTACAGTGAGGCTGAGTAAAAATACAATCTGTGGGTAACAAAAGTACAGTGAAGCTAGGTAAAAATACAGTATCATACTGATTTTGCCACACCCTAAAATTCTTGACCACAAATACCAAATGGGCACTTAGTATTTCCAAGTCCTCCGCCTCCTTTCTAGAGCAACTTTTTTCTTCCACTCTCAAAAATGATTATTTTTATACCTTCTCTTTTCTTCTCTTAAAACCCACAACTCTGCGCACTTCTCTTTCTCTGAATTCCTGCTGATTATCTTGCCTACACATCACTGAAAAAAATAGAAGCCTTCAGACCGAAACCCTTTATTTTTCAACCATAAAACTGCCAAGATCATATTTTCTCTGTTTCCCTCCTGAGTTGATGACACATGAGGTGGCCAAGCTCCTACACGAGGACAGCCACTCCACCAGTGCCCTGATACAGTCCCTCGAATCTTTCTAAGGACATTTCATCTACAATTACAACCTCAATATCCTGCATCAGCCTTTTTTCTCTCTCTACTGGATCATCTCTATTAGCACTTCAAATGCTCTGATATCTCCTACCACAAATAAAGAGATAGAGGATGATAGATAATAGATAGATGATACACAGATGATAGACGATAGATAGATGTTGATGATAGATGATAGATAGATCGATCGATCGATCGATAGATGATAGATGTAATAACTGCTTCTTAGGTTTATATCTCCTTCCAATACCCACCTTTTTTTTTCTGTTTCCTTCATTAGAAAATGTAAGAGTAATTTTCTAAACTTGCCATTCCATATCAACCCTACTTGCTCTTTCTCTAAGTGGTCTCCCTCAGGTCATGGCTTCAAATTACACGTATGTGCTCAAACATTACTTCCTCAGTGATGCCCTTCCTGCCCAGCACAGAGTCAATCACTCCTCTTCACATGACCTTATTTACTTCCTTCATAGTCTCTACCAGTATCTGAATATCTTGTTCATGCATTCATTATTTCTCTATTTCATCTCTCTTCCCCACTGGAATATTTACTCTAGGAAAGGAGAAAACTCATCTGTCACCGCTGAATTCTCAGAGCCCTGGGCAGGGCCGGACACATTGAAAAGACTTAGGAAGGAAGAAAAGAATGCAGGCAGGGAAGTCAGAGATCTTGATATGGACCCTGTCTTTACAGGATTCATGTTCTCTTCCAGTCTAGTGAAAAGGTTATAAACAAATAGTTGCAATATGCCTATCATAGTGTTATAAATTGGTCTGATGGTAGGTAGATGTCTGATTTATCCTTTTAAGATGAGAGATATTACAAGAAGGCAAATGAAAAATAGTTTATGTAGTTTGAATCATCCCCTCCATGTATCCAGAAATTTCTTAAGCCTCCATTTTTCTAATACTAAAATGGCAGTGTGAGGTTATCAGTCATTTAATCTTTGCACATATTAGTTTAGTTGAATCGCTTTCATTTGACCATATGAATGAGTCAAATTTGATGGGAAAATTGGCAAGAAGAAGAAAAAGAGAACATGATTTTGAGGCCGTGAGCACTGTGACCATATGAATGAGTCAAATTTGATGGGAAAATTGGCAAGATGAAGAAAAAGAGAATATGATTTTGAGGCCATGAGCACTGTGACTGAGTGCTGTAAACCTAGAGGTTTTCTTCCTTATTTCTTCTCATGTGAAACCACTTAACACAATGTCATTGCCGGCCTAAATATGAGTCCTCTACATATTTAGATTATCTCCCGGATGGATGCACTTGAGTTTCTCACAAATATCTCAGCTAGACAGATCTAAATAAAACCCATCACTATTTTTTTGCAAAAAATCTGTAACCTTTTTCTCCATACTATATGCGAGAAATTAGCAAAATATAGTATGTGACAGATCCATCCATATTTAGAAACAACCCACATTTCTGTCAGTAAAGGAATGTTTAAAACCTATACTTTCTGCCTTAAGAAAATATAATGCAGCCATTAAAAAGTGATACTAATAAAGGTTATATAACAATATGAATAATGTCAATTATAAAATTAGTGAAAAACATTATTACAACTAAATTAAAAAAATACCTTCTTCATTGATTAATGAGAGTGGTAAAAAATAGTAATATCCCTTTAACAAATAAGGGAAAGAAAAATAAACAAAATGGTTTTAATAATAGGGTGGAAGCATACATGATTATAATTATTTTCCAACTATTCTAGAATATGCATGTACTGTTTTTTAAGAAAAACTGTATTATATCAAAGGTATTGTTTTAAATCCTATTTACTTAAGAAAAAATATGGAGAAATAAGATAACACATCAGGATTTATCTGCTTTATATAAATGTTTGTTTCTGTTCTCCTAGATAAAAAAAAAGTTGATTAATTTGCTTTCTTATACAGTAATTAGTTCATTGCCAATGTAATTTTTAAAATAAAGTCTAGATCACTGAATAGGAAACAGAGCCTAAATTAAATAAATTGGATATTAAAAAAATGTATTGCAAAGCACATTAAAAAGCTACAATAACAGTTCAAAGCCAAAATCTTCATTGAGTCAGCCTGCTCATATTACTATGAGAAATCTATAAAGCCATCTGCTAAATGTTTTAGAGGTCTATAAATGTTGGCAAACTACATTAAAAAATAAGATTAGGTTGAATGAACTAAAAGCATTGAGGCCCATGCAGCATGTTACAATTATGATTCAGAGCATGAGCACACTAGGAAGAAAAATCCTTTCAACCTTTTTCAAATGTTCAAATTTAATCAAGTCTCCAGCCTATTATTGTTTTAAATTAAAAGTCACAATCATAGAAACATAATTCTGGACTGGCACACAATAAACAGACACTGTATCCAGAGTTCCTCTTTGTTTATGTTCTACATAAGTGGCTCATTTATTTTTCTAAACAAATATATTCATATTTTTGATTGGAGAGTTAGGTATTTCAGTTTTATTCTACCATTCACTAAACAAGATGTAAATTAATTTGAAGGGAACATGATGGCAATGTAACTATGTAACTATTTCCTTCTTTGAAAACAAATGCATCATCTCTGCCCTGATGTTTATGTTCTGTGAAATCCCTCAGCTGAGGGAAATTTATAAATCAGTGGGGGGCCATTATGTTTTGCAGTGCTGTATCACAATCGCATCATATCCACACTTTAAGAAGAAATCTGGGAAAATGTTTTTATGGTCCATTTTCCAAATGCACTTTTTATTCCATTTTCCAAATGCACTTTTTATTCCATTTTAAATGTATATTTATTGAGACTTATTTTTCAAATACAAAATGAAATATGCATTTTAAACATGTTTGTTCTGCCCAATAGTCATCAGACATTATTCAATAATACATTACTGTAATCACTGGAACCAGAAAACAATATTCTGACAGCCAACAAAAAGAGGGAATGAAAAGAAGTTCTATGTACACTTAGAATTTAATCAACATACAAAAAGGATAAATACGCTACATTTTATGGGTCATTATTATGATAGCAACTATTCCTAAACATATGTCAGCTGCACTGTGCTAGAAAATATTCAAAGAAAAAGTACTAGACTTTACAGGTTATAAAAGTGCTAAAAACTTACTATGAAAGGCCACTTTCCAAATTTTCCTTGACACTTGAAATTGAATTGTATATAGTTTAGAAAGCATTGAATGTATCATCAGAAGACAGAGCCCAAGCCCTGATTTTGTCATTTACTGCTCAACTGCCTTGGGTAAGTTACAGTGTCCAAGGTTTCTTACCAATGAAATAAGTAAAGCAAAGCCTCTTCTATGTCATAGTAGTACGGGAAAAGCTGGTGAGGAAAAAGAACTCATGTTGACCAAGTTCTCTACATGTCAAACCTGAGCTGGGTGGTTTCCTCATAAGTCCTTTTATAAAAATTCTATGCAACAAATATTTTTACTCCAGTTTTATAGATGAAGATTCCAAGTTAACAGGTTATATTTTGCCCAGGGTCACAAAAAAAATTAAGGTGGAGTTTGAATCCAGATCTCTGTGATTCTGGGGCAATGACGGTGACCAATCATCTTGGTTTGCCAGGTACTATCCCTGTTTTAGGCAGCAAGTCTCCAGTCCCAGGCAACTCCTCAGTACCAGGCACACTGGGACAATGGGTCCCCTTGTTTGACAAACACCACATCAAATGAGTACAGTTACAGGAAATGAGAAGCTAGGTGACTTATAAAGCATGCCCCAAATTCAAGTTATTGAC